ATCTCCTAAGCAAAATAATATTACTCCTATCATAACAATTTGAATTCTATAGGTAGTGAAAGGCACTCAAGGAATTGATTCACTTTAAACAGATAATCATAATATTGATTCCCCATCAGCTGGCTAATCATTATTTTGATTCACAGGTAATGTTAACAGATAGGCAACAATGACTTGCAAGAATACAGCATTTATCTTGCTATTATTCTCATTTAGTGGTATCCTCAGCACCACAACTGATACCTATAGCATTGTTGTACTTTACCTTCACTACATTTGATAACAATTCACAATTTTTAAATGTCGAGAATACAAAAACTGAAGCAGCAGGTAAAAACCATATAAATAATATAAAAGCACTACAACAATGATAATCATGGGTTTAAAAATTTCATTTTGCCACTTTACACAAATACTGATTGGTTAGTATGTGATTCATGATACAAAAATAGCATACAGTGTGATTTCCTCAAAACAGCTTTTACGTGATGGACAGTGGCTCTGTCTTTTTCCCATTCACAAGGCCAAAGGGACAATTTCTTAGCTTTGAGGTAACACTTTTTGCAAACCTACCACATTTTTCTACCTTTTAAAAGAAAAATCTCACCGTCATGGGCCTTTTTTCAACCGTAACGATTCATTTGAAGTCAAAAGTGTACCCAAATGAATCAAAAAATTGATTCCATGCCCATATTTGGTCATGGCTCCTCCCACCAGAATCAAATTATTGATGCCTCCATATTTTGATTCCAAAAGTCTAGTTTGCCCAACGTCGTTTCGCGTGGATAGTTCAGTTGAGTTTGATGAGTGTTTCTGGGTGTTTTTGAATTATTGCAGCTATTTTAGCTTTTATTTTGCCTCATTTTAGGAAAGTGGGATATTCCAGGCCTAATTTCAAGTGTTGCAATGACAACTGTCCCTAAAGCGGCGTGCAGTACACAGTTAAAGAGCAAGGTAGCCGAGCCGCCCAGCACGCAAAGCAAGATGTGTGAAGATATAGAGCCTGTTCCAGCGCCTCCAGAAACCTCCAGAAACCTCCAGAAAGCTCTAGAATCCTCCAGAGAGCGTTCCAGCGCCTCCAGAAAGCTCCAGAAAGCTCTCGCCAAAGCTCCAGAAACCTCCAGGTAAGAGTCCAGTAGCCTCCAGAGAGTTGAGAGGTCCAAATTTCTCTGGAGGCTCTGGTCTACAATTATGGCGCACATGTTACAATCACGAATGTAAACAAAGAACTTTTGACTGAGAATTTTACAACTTGAACGTAAAGAAAATTGCATTGCTATAATTTTGTTTATCTTTTTTACTAAAATTGAAAACAAATTTTGCGTTTCAAGAGAGAGCAATCGTCATTCTTTTGGTATCTATGACGCCAATCTCCAGAAATCTCCAGATTGCGTTCCAGCGCCTCCAGTGAAACCTCTGGTAGAGCCTCCAGTCAAGAATTTCTACTGGAGGCGCTGGAACAGGCCCATAGGAAGATACCTAGGATCGAATTTGCGCAGAAGGTGAGATCTGATTGAAATATTGATCAAGTAACGCCCAGAAAAGAATTTTTTATTTACTTCTTTACATGTTCAATTATTGTATTAACTCTAAACCTTGATTGGTGGCAACTGGCAACTTTTGTACAGCGGGTTCGGCATGCACAATGATTGTAAATTATTGACCAGACTGAGCAGCTAAATCAACCTGATTTCTTTCAAATACTTTCTGCCTGAGTAGGCTGATACCATCTGAATCCTGAAGTTGCTGGAATGCTGAAAGGAAAATTCTAGGGCTCACTGGAGCTCTCTGGTGCTCTCAGGTGGTGCTGGAACTTGCCCTGAGAAAGCTCTACAGCACCTTATTTTGATATTTGTATGTTTTTTTTCTAAACATGAGTAGTGAGTACCTACAAAGAGTAAAAAATAAGAAAAAGAACATTCACAGGGGGCATAAGCAAGACACTGTATCTTTTTTTGTTTGTGCAACCAACTAAATAAAAACATTCAAAGCTCAATTTGAGAATAGATAGAAAATGAAAGTGGAAAGCTCTGTCCAGAATTTTGATTACTTGTAAAATCATTTTCTCTAGCAGAAATGATGTGAGAAACATTTGTGGCAATGTAGCTAATAAAGAGTTTCTCGTAATATCTGGTATGTAGCAGATTCAGCATTTTTCCCAGCCCTGGAGACTGCCAATACCATGATCAATCAAATGGCTATCTTCGATTATTGATTATTGCTCCGCATTTTCCATAATCTTGAACTGAATCTTGGCAATTTTTCGTGACTACTTCACGACCAGTGATGCATGAATTTCTTAAATTGAACTTTTTGAGCCAAACACGTACACATATGATAAAATGAATGTCACCATCGTGTTCTACGCTCCAAATTACCTATAAAACATGTGTCACAGGCTGCGAATATCAGTTTTGATTTTCGGGGATATGTGCCTACCCGGTTGACCTGACCTTGACCCTGACCTTTGACCTTTGACCTTTGACCTGAGTTTTGATTTTCGGGGATATGTGCCGGTTGACCTGACCTTGACCCTGACCTATGCTTGACTGACCCCTACATGGAGCTGACACTCTTGTAGGCCTTAAAAGATGGATTGTGCACCGTTTTGACAGAGTTTATGGCGAGAGGCGCCCATTGCGAAGTCCTGAAGTCCATGCTACTGAAAGACCGATTTCAGGTGTTTGACCTGACCTTGACCCGACCTGTGACCTCAAAATTCAACTTTAAAGTACTCATCTGAAGCGTCTCGTCGCGCTCTTTCGTTTGCCGCCTCGTGCGTTTCGCTGCGCCTATTGGTTCTCGAGTTATCGGCTGGGGGCGTTTAACGCCCCCCCCCCCCCCAGCAAACGGTGGGTGGCGAAATACCCCAGCAACTGCCGGGTTAATTCGAAATTATCTCTGATTCCTGCGCTCCCAGAGAGAGATCATGTGGTTTGTAGTACCTACCTAGGCATTGGATCTTATCTTATCAGTTATCTTACAAGTTACATAATATATATCTGTGGCTACGCTGTTTATCGGACGAGAGCTTTTTATGCAATATAAAGTATTTCCTGTGTTTCTTTGTGATATGGTAGCATTATTTTGTCACGCTCCCACCATTTTTGTCCAGGATAGTAGCCATTTCTTTTTAATGTATTACGTCAAAAATAATCACCAATGAAATGTCGAGTTTCATCCTGTGGATAACGTTTGAAATAAGAAAGCTAATTTCTGTATTTGCATTTGATTAAATGCATTTAAAGCTAATCAAAAATGTGGAAACTGTTCAAAAAGCCAGGTAAAAACTAAAAACTTAAACCAGATGTTTTATATAATTCCGTTGTTCTTATGACGTCAGCAAATAGAAAAGAATCCCATCAGACAATAAACAATTAATGCTCCTTGTTTTTCCTTTCTTTTCCATCGCGCGATTCGTGTCGTCGATCCAACGCAAACGTCGATCATTTGTGGATCGTGTCAATACGGCGTCATATAGCGTGTTTCATCATCATATGGATTGGGAAGTGGAATAGTTTTTTCGAGGACAATACATGCGTTGTAAGGGATATTGCTGATACATAAAAAGTAAAACAAATTTCAATTTGTCAGCAGGCAGCTCTGGTGCTGTAAAAGGGAATGCTGTTCCATTCTGATTCCCATTCCTGATTCCAATTCAATGGAATCTTGATCTTGAATTGAAATTTAGTGTGGTTTACTTGCAATCAGTGTTGCCAAACACTAGTGAGTGTCAAAATTTAGAATGGAAATAGACTACCGTTTGTTGCTCCAGAAACGGTAAGTTTGTACTTTTTAGTTTTATTCATTTTACCTACTTTCACTCATCACTGTTCTAATAATTGCAATGCTTAGATGCATTGTTTTTTATTTTGCTTTGATACTTGACACTGTTTGTGAGCTCAGGCACATAGCTATGATTTTGCTCAGGGAGGGGCCACAGGTTGCGGCCCAGTGTTGTACCCTCTCCAAAAAGGAAAACTCCTCTGATTTTGCCCCCTATTTTTGGGGGTGTGGTGCAGCTGTTGTTATTTATTTTTATTTTTTATTTATTTAATTTTACTTTTCAGCTTCAGGGGGCCTTGGCCCTCATGGACCCCCTCCCTTGGCTATGTCCGTGTGTGAGCTGCTAGAGGTGTATTAGGCTTTATCTACTTTTTGCACCCTCTAAAAACTGAAAAATTGACAAAATAAAAACATGAAGGGAATAGGAAAGAACATATCCAATTCTTAGCATGAAAAGTGATACCACAGTCCGCACATCAATACTTGCAATACTTTTCACGCACATCAATACTTGCAATACTTTTCATGTAAGAATAAGGTTACACCCAACCATGTGGCATCAAAGTCTAGTAGGGCAATCTGACTGAATCTGACAATCCCTGATGCTTGATGTGATGTCACACTGTTAGATGACCAACAGCACTTTGCACTGAAGGATATGGCGGATTATTAGGCTAGGTACCTATTGGGTGATTTTCATCCATTGCTTACCGCCTATCTAACATAATTTTATTGTGTTGAAGAGATGAACCATACCAAGACAAAAAGGTTTATTTAACTGAATGAAATAAAAGGTTATTTATAGACATGTATGCAGTGCCTTCCCTCTGTAACATTGTTTCTGTCTCGTCCGCAGGACTAGATATGTCCAACATTCACTGAATTCCGAATACAGAATATCGAAATGGCGCGCATGCCTATCTATGTTGGACATATCTTAATTTGCAATCAAGCATAACGTCGAAACCCGAGCCTCGAACCATGGCAACAGCCTGCCCATTCAGCGGCTGTGAATACGTCGTCGCTGCAGATACCGCACCTATCGTGGTCGTACAACTTCTTCAAATGCACCAGTCCGAGGCCCATACCCGGCCTACAGTGAGCATTACTGCCGAAAAGGTCACCAGACCGCGCGTGACAGCTGCCGGATCCAGCGAGGACTGGGAGTATTTCACCAGCCGATGGACGGAGTACAAGAAAGCCACCGGACTCACCGATACAGACTGCGTCATCCAGCTGCTTGAATGCTGCGACGAAGGCCTCCGCAGGGACCTCACCAGATTCTCGGGGGGCTCCCTCTCATCCAAGGACGAACAGACTGTCTTGGCCGCAATGCGAAGTCTCGCCGTCCGCGAGGAAAACCTCGCAGTGGCTCGCGTCCAGCTCCACAACATGACGCAGGAGCACGAAGAGCCGGTCAGGGCGTTCGCCGCTCGTCTTCGCGGGCAGGCGGCTGTCTGTAAGTTTCACGTCACCTGCGAATGCGGACGGGTCGTCAGCTACCAGGATGAAGTCACACGCGATACGCTCGCCAGGGGGCTAGCGGACAGGGATATTCAACTGGACCTCCTCGCCCAAGGCCAGACACCGATCCCCCTGGAAGAGACCATTCGTTTCGTCGAAGCAAAAGAGGCTGGTAAGCGATCCGCTCAGACGCTGGGTCAGTCTCAAGGTGTGGCCGCCGCCCGCAGCCAGTACCGGCGAGCGAAAGCGAGCATCGGCGAGCAGGAGCGGCGAGTATCAGCTGGCGATGCTGGCCGTCAACAGAGTTCAGTCGCAGGACCGGCCGACGTCTGCCAATATTGTCGTCGGACAGGTCATGGCGTAAAAGCCTCTGTCGCGGTTCGCGCTAAATCCTGTCCCGCCTACCGCAGCCAGTGCCGTCATTGCAGACGCCGGGGCCACTTCACCGAGGCCTGCCTGCAGCGACAGGCAGCCGGTATCGCGACTACACATCCGGAGGGCGATGATGACGCTCCCAGTGACGCTCTCTGTAGCCTCAGAGACTCAACGCACGACACGGTAGCTTCATGCACCGCCGCAGCCATGCGGCACCACATGTACGACGACATCACCCAGAGCTGGTGTCAGCAACCCAGCCAGCCCCAGCCAGTGTCAGAAAAGTGGTTTGGGGATCTAAGTTCGCAGACTAAAATTTTGAAAAGGTCGCAGAACAAAGCTGGAACTTAGCTATGGTTCCAAATTTTTAATGAAGCTACAGCATTATATCAGTTTCTTTTTAGCATAATGGGCAGAGATTGTTGAAATGCAGCACATATCAAAGTGAAACACCTCACAGTGATGCAAATGGGGTTCACGAGTGGCCATAAATACCCAAAAGTCAAATTTACCAAATCGAGTTAATTGCGATATGGCCGAGTAGACAAATGTTTGGGGCATCTGAAATCACATGGTTTTCATGTTTTTGTCAAAACCGGCCTCGTGTATAATCGTCAGAAGTCGTGACATTTTCTAGATCGTAAAATGACGGTCAGACTCTCGCAAGTTCAAACGCTGCTGGTTTGCGTTCATTTCGTACAAATTGAAAAAAAAATTTGCATGGGAATGATCCCCAAAGCCTTCTGCTTCTAATGCCGAGTCACAAAAAGCCGTATCTCATTCGCTTTGGCGGTAATCTGACTAATTATCATCATGTTGCAATCGCAGTTTTTTACTAAGAAAAAAATGCTTTCGTTTCACCTACAGCACTTAACACAGTGTGTGCCCGTTAGTCCACCATACCATAGCCTTCCCTAATCATTTCTGAGTCGCATCGTGAAAGAATTAAGCCGCTAGCACAGGGCTGACCGGCGCTACAGAGGTTTTTGTCCGGGCGGTCGGGTGCCGCAGTGGGCGCGCAGTGGGCGGGTGAGTGCCGCCGCGCGACGTCCGGGCGGCGCGGCGGCCCGGCCGCCCGGGCCGCCCGCTGCGCCGCGGCACCCGACCGTGCCGGATGAAAACTTCTGTAGCGCCGGTCAGCCCTGTGCTAGCGCCTTAATTCTTTCACGATGCGACTCAGAAATGATTAAGGAATGCTATGATATGGTGCACTAACGAGCACACACTGTGTGAAGTGCTGTAGGTGAATTGAAAGCAAATATTTTTGGTAAAAAAGTGCGGTTGCAACATGATTACAAATAGTTAGCTCACCGCCAAACCGAAATAGATACGGCTTTTTATGACGTGGCATTAGAAGCAGCAGGTTTCGGGGATCATTTTCATGTATAATTTTTGCAGCTTGTATGACATGAACGCACGCTAGCGGCACTTGAATTTCAAGTACCTGACAGTCATTTTACGACATCGAAAATGTCTCGACTTCTGACAATCCTACACGAGGCCGGTTTTGACAAAAACATTAAAATCATACTTTTTCAGACACCCCAAACATTTGCCTGACTGACCATATTACGATTTATTCGATTAAGTGAACTTGAATTTTGGGCCTTTTTCGTATTTATGGCCAATCGTGAACCCCATTTGCATCACTGTGCACCTGCACATGACCAACATGCAATGGTTATCATTAAGCAGGCACCTCACGAGATGCCAGATCTGTCTACGATAGCAATGTAGGTTGTAGGTTGTAGGTGTTAGGCTTGTAGGTTGTAGGCTAGTAGGTAAGGTTAGGTCAGGTTAGATTATGTTTCAGATCTGGCATCTCGTGAGACGCCTGCTTAATGAATCCCCATGGCCCATGCAATCTCGTATCTACTTAATAGGCAGGTAGCCTACATTGCCATTGCTCAAGTATAATGATGCATACCTATATAAATATTAATATTCACATTTGCCTAATTTTAACAAGGGAAATCCAAGAACATATCATAACTAAATGCAAGAAAACAATCTGAACCCACCAGAAGGCTACTAATGTGAAAGCAGCTACCCTTGGATATCACTTTCTTAGCCTAGGTAGAAGTGAAGGTATAATCAAGAAGGGGAGAAGTTAAGACAAACTGAAACACATGGTTTATGTTAAGTATTACCATAACCTGAGCTTGTTACAAAAATAGACATGAACAATCCCACCTCAGATTCCTTGAACGAAGATGGTCGAAGTCGAATGAGTCTCAGTATCTCAGCCTTTAAACAAAAATCATATTGTTGAGTATGAAAAAACGAGAAAAAATGCACATAATCATTTAACTATTAAATTACCCCACGAAATTATACTTCTTTACATAACTCACGCAAATTGCGAGACTAACCCGGCGCAGTCGCGTAAAAGCGCGCGATACGCGCCAGACAGCGCTGCCTAGTCTGAGAATGTATTTATTTTTTAAAAAGTATTTGTTGCTAGTTAAGTTCATTACCGAATGACAAAAACGATTTTGATGTTCAATTTATTTTAATACAAAATTTAATGAATAATATGCAGCACAAAATAATGCCTTCGGTCGATTTATTACAAAAATATTATTATCTTACTGCCATGTGTTCGAGAAAAATAAAAAGTCATTTTTGTGTAATTCAGATGGGAAAAGGGCATCAAAAAGACAATAACTGTTTATTTTGTTCATTTTAATATCATTCACAAAAAAATTGCCATAAATTCGTCCAAGTTCTCTTATGCCGGCACCAAAAAGGTGATACCTCAAAAGACGCTGTCACTTATTATCCCCATACGCATTTTTTTGCTCATTTTTACGAAACAAAAACTATTCTATAACTTTTTCCAATCAATTTCCATTCTAGCCATACCTTGTTTTGCAATGAATGATGTCTAGGTGTCTTAAACGATCCAAGTGAAGCTGACCTTAGCAGGCACGGAACGACCCCGCAGACTATCGTAAAATATGGGCATCACACGTTATAAAATTGCTAAATTTTGACATTTTTGAAAAGAAAAATCTTTTTTACATCTACTGATATCATTTTTTCATACTTTACTGCAATTGGGAACTTTTACCAGGGGATAGTCTGCCACCACGGAAACACCAAATATGTTCTGCGAGAACTCAGAAAAAGTTTGCGCCCGGTTGCGTTATGAAGGGAGCCGGGCGGGGAGCGAGCTTGTTGGTGCGGCGATGGCAGTGTTTTAGACGTCAAAAGGCCAAGGCTTATGACTCGTCTCCCATGACTCGCGTGTTATTTTTGTGATTTGTTTGGTACCTTCGTTTGATTTGTGTGAATGTGATTTTAAAGGTAGGATAGGTTGTGCTGATATATGTATTATGGGTAATATGCTTATCCAGTACCCATAATTTTCTGATAGCATTTAGGTACTACTCACTAGCTTGGTATATGTGTCATTTCTCAGAACAGTGTACATGTAAATTAATCAAGCTGAGCTTTTCAGGTTTATCTCACCTGACTACGTTATTAACTTGAACTGCTGTTGCCTGTCAGTTAATTTTTTTAAAGCATTCACTACTTTGTAGGCACTGCATGCTAATATGGATATGAAATCGAGCTTTTCAGGTTTATCTCACCTGATTACGTTAAGTTTGCATACCCATTGGAGCATTGCCCATTTCCAGCTCCTGCATGCTGTGTAGTCCTTCATTCATATCATACGTGTTGAACCAGATGTTAAAAGAGTGACAAAATTTTCAACATTTGTATTATAAAATACAGGATTAATTGTTAATGCACACACTGTGTGATCACAATCCACAGATCACCTGTTCATAACACATCACAGTTGATGGGCTTCAGGCTGCCGATCAAATACCAGTTATATCTATCAATCTAATACCAGTGAAAGTTTTGCCAACAGCTGTCAGCTGGTGAACCAAGAGTAGCAGGCGGTGCTGGTTCTTGGGAGTAGGTCAGTAGTTTGTACTGCATTCTATTCAGGAGTCCAGGTCTTCATTCAGTAGCCATGGAGACTGGAGAGATGACTTAATCTGCTGAAGAAGAAAAATCAGTCAAAATGGGTAGGCAGTTGGGTTTTTATTAAGTGACCCATTGTGAAATGCTCCATCAAGCCTGATAATGCTGACATAGATGGGTAGAGGTACTTTGTTGCACAGAAATCATCTGTTTAGGGAACGTTTGCTCACAGAACAAAAATTGCTTTTCTTTAGTCAAGACTTTTCGCAGAACAAATCTTCCGAGTTCAAGAAAACTTAGAAACGGGCCACTTTTCTGACACTGGCCCCAGCCGTCGATTAAACTGGACCTCTCGCTCCAACCGGCCGATTACGGCGCCCTGGGCCTCCAGTGCACGGTCAGCCAGGCCACCATCACTCAGGAAGTCATCGCCGACACAGGCTGTCAGAGCTGTCTGGCGGGCATCTCTCTCATGCGACGCCTTGGCGTCACGGAGGCTGACCTCGTCCCGACGTCCCTGAGGATGCACGCAGCAAACGGCGATCCCATCGACATCCGCGGAGCGTTGATCCTACGTATATCCGGCCACCGCGACGGCATTCGGCGGGAGACTCGACAGTTCGTGTACATCACGCCGAACTGCGACACCATGTACCTCAGTCGAGATGCCTGTCGTGACCTCGGCATGATCGACGCCGCTTTCCCCGCTGTCGGGCTCGCGTCTATCTCCGCGGATGGGATCGGCATCGACGAGTACAACGCATGTTCCTGTCCTCGCCGTCAGACGCCTCCGCCTAAGCCAACAGAGCTACCTATGCCGGCAACGGAGAGCAACGTCGACGCCCTGCGTCAGTGGCTGGCCGACTATTACTCTGCGAGCACGTTCAACACCTGTGAACATCAGCCACTCACGCCGATGGACGGTCCACCCCTGCGCATCATGCTCAGACCTGACGCCGAGCCAGTGGCCCACCACAAGGCTATCCCAGTACCACTGCACTGGCAGACGGAGGTCAAGGCCGCCCTGGATCGCGACGTGCAGCTGGGGGTCATCGAGCCCGTACCGATTGGTGAGCCGGTGACCTGGTGCCACCGGATGGTCGTCGTCTCCAAGAAGTCGGGAAGCCCTCGCCGTTGCGTCGACCTTCAGCCCCTGAACCGCTGCGCCGCAAGAGAGACGCATCATACCCCAAGTCCCTTCCACCAAGCCCGGTCTGTGCCGAGGTCGACCTACAAGACGATACTGGACGCCTGGAATGGCTACCATTCGGTGCCCCTACACGAGGAAGATCGACACCTCACCACTTTCCTGACCCCTTGGGGCCGATACCGTTACTGCGCGGCACCCCAGGGCTACATCTCCAGCGGTGACGGGTACACGCGCCGCTATGACGAGATCGTGATGGCGGCAAACCTGTCACACGACTGCTACACGAAATGCATCGACGACACCCTTCTCTGGGGAGACAGCATCGAGGAGGTGTTCTGGCGCACTGTGGAATGGCTGGACATGTGTGGCCGTTCCGGCATCACGCTGAACAGCGAGAAGTTTGTCTTCGCCCAGAAGACAGCGGAATTCGCTGGGTTTGAAATCACGCCTGACACAGTCCGCCCGTCTCATGCCTTCCTTCAGAGCATCACCGAGTTCCCCACTCCCAGGAACCTGACAGACGTCCGCGCGTGGTTCGGGGTCGTCAATCACGTCGCCTACGCATTCGCCATGGCGGATGCCATGCTGCCGTTCCGGGAACTCCTGAAGCCCGGCAAGTTCACGTGGACGGATGAACTCCAGGCACTGTTCGACATGTCGAAACGGACCATCGTCGAGGAGGTCACGAAGGGTGTCCAGATCTTCGAGACAGATCGCCCAACCGTCCTGGCCACCGACTGGTCCCGTACTGGTATCGGTTTCTGGTTACTCCAGAAATACTGCACATGCGCCGGTCGGTCACCACTCTGCTGCGCTGAGGGCTGGAAGACCACGCTGGTGGGAAGCCGCTTTACATCCGGCGCTGAATCTCGGTACGCCCCGGTCGAGGGCGAGGCGCTGGCAGTGGCCGACGCCCTCGAGAAAACGCGCTTCTTCGTGCTCGGCTGCAGCGACCTCACGGTCGTTGTTGACCACAAACCCCTCGTGAAGATTTTCGGGGACCGATCACTGGTCGACCTGCCCAACGCCCGTCTCCGTAATCTCAAGGAAAAGACCCTCCGGTTCAGATTCGACATCAGCTATCTCCCCGGAGTCAAGAACCGCGTTCCCGACATCGCGTCCCGGTACCCAACCGGCGCTCCCATCGGCATAAGCCTCTCCGACGACGTCACCGTCGACGATGCTGGCGAGGTAGCGGCAGCCGCCATCACCACGATCCGGTCTGTCACCTGGGACCGCGTGAGGGACGCAACGGCAGGCGATCCGTCGATGATGCGACTTCTCGAACTGATCGAGGGAGGGCTACCAGCCCACCGCCACGAGATGCCTGAGGAGCTCCGAGAGTATCATTCGCTCCGTGATGGCCTATACACCAGCGACGGCATCATCCTGTATGATCAGCGAATCGTCATCCCACCCAGCCTCCGCGAGGAGGTGCTCCAGAGTCTCCACGGTGCGCACCAAGGGATCGGCATGATGCTCGCGCGCGCGGCCGTAAGCGTGTACTGGCCCGGCATCACGTCAGCTATTCGGCGCGCCCGTGAACGATGCCACACGTGCAACCGGAACGCCCCATCGCAGCCATGGGCCCCACCTGAGGACATCAGTTACCCAGAGTACCCGTTCCAGCAACTATGCGCGGACTACTTTACACACTGCGGCCGTACGTACCTCGTCATCGTTGATCGTTATTCTAACTGGCCAATCGTTGAGAGAGCACAAGATGGCAGCGCAGGCCTCCGAGACTGTCTCTACCGCGTCTTCAGCACATTTGGCATCGCTGAGGAGCTGACGAGCGATGGCGGGCCGGAGTTCACTGCCCACGAGACACAGGCGTTTCTGGCCGACTACGGTGTTCGTCACCGCCGCTCCTCTGTGGCATTCCCACACGCGAACTGTCGCGCTGAGGTTGGCGTCAAAACCGTCAAACGCATGATCGAAGGCAACACAGGTGACAACGGGGAACTGAACGTGCGACGCTTCCAGCGCGCCATGCTGAACTACCGCAACACTCCCGACCCCACGACAGGGCTGTCGCCGGCCCAATGCGTGTTCGGTCGTCCGGTGCGAGACTTCATCCCGATACCCCCCGGTCAGTACCGTCCTCATCCCACGTGGCGCGAAACCCTGAGTGCTCGTGAGGAGGCACTCCGGAACCGCCACATGCGGGACCACGAACGCTGGTCCGCACATACGAGGCGACTACCTCCACTGACCGTCGGTGATGCCGTCCGCCTCCAAAACCAAATCGGAAGATATCCCAGGAAGTGGGACAAAACTGGCCGCGTCGTGGAGGTGCGACAACATAACCAGTACATGGTCCGGGTCGACGGCAGCGGCCGAATGACATTGCGCAACAGGCAGTTCCTGCGCAAATACACTCCGGTTGTTCCGGCTCGTCGTCAGCACACCCGAATGGACGAACTGCTCGACGACTTCCGCCGACATCCAACACGCGTGTCACAGTCGCACGCGAACTCTGGACTGACGCCACCCACTTCTCCACCTGCGGCGCAACCCCCCGGCTCTCCGACTCCAGTGGTCGGCCAGATGCCGGCGACGCCGCCGCGGGCGCCCCGTGGCAGGCCCCCGACACCGCGTCCACCCGCGCCATCGCCGCCTGTGGTGTTATCCCCGCGCGAGCGAGATGCGTCGCCGCCCCTTGTGTCCCCACAGTGTGTGACGCCGTCACCGTCCATGTCGACTTCACCACCACATCGCGTGTCCCCGCATGCGTTGTCGCCCGGTCATGCCACGCCGTCGCCGCCGGCCATGCCGCCCCCTGCCGCGCCAGGCTCGCAGCCGCTGAGAGATACTGAACCCGACCGTCCCCGTCGCAGTGATCGCCCGCGCCAAATGCCGATCCGCTATCGCGACCCCAATTTCACGCGCTGACTGTGCCACTGACTCCCTATCATTGTCAAACTCGGCAGTTGTTTGCGATGTTCGGATATGTTCCGCGTTTAGTGTTTGATCGTTGTCCCGGCTCGTTTTCCAGCCGGTCCACTCGTTCTGGTTGCCTAGAAGCTGTGTTTTGTTGCCCCCTGGGCTATTTGTTTGTTCGCGCTCCCGTGAATGCGACCCGTCGTTTGGCCTTTCGGCGTCGTTTCGTTACGGCACCCTTCAATCTATGCCAATCTATGTAAGTCTTTGTTCCCGGCCGGCAAAGACTGGGGGGAGATAGACATGTATGCAGTGCCTTCCCTCTGTAACATTGTTTCTGTCTCGTCCGCAGGACTAGATATGTCCAACATTCACTGAATTCCGAATACAGAATATCGAAATGGCGCGCATGCCTATCTAATTTAATGAAGGTTTTCAATAGGAAACTTTATCAATAATCTAGGTTTAGGTTTAGGTTTAATCGGATGGGCTGGTGTAGACTAGGTGTCTATTCGGTGCACACGTCAGGTATAAGGTAGGTATACTGGACTGATTGGATCTAGGGTATCTGTTATAGTGCCACTGTAATCAGTCACTTCAACAGTTATCCTCTTAAAGGAAAAGGGCCACCTTTAACATGGGGATTGAAACTGAGATAGCCATCTTGTAGCCCGTGTCCGAAAACCAGTCTGTCTACCTCCTTACGGCCGATTTCGGCCTCCATTCGTAGTTATCGGCAATTTTAAAAGAAAATACGCCAGGAATGCGTCCTTATCCCAGGAATGCGTTCTTATCCGACAATACAGCCACCCGCGGCGAGGCTTTGGTTTTTTACCAATCAGCTCCAACCAGCTCAGCTTTAACCAATCAGCTTATCTGACACAATCCGATGAGTCTGTCTTCTGAACGCTGATTGGCTTGAGTGTGACGTCATCGCTATGCCATCATACAGTAGGTGCCTTAGAGAGTATCAACGTAGTACCAATATGTTAAATAGTTTTAAATACTTTTTCGCGAATTGTGCACTTCTGGCACCAGTTTTAAAAAGAAAATGAACAATAATAATGTCAAAATGAAAAACAACGATATCTTCATATTTCACGAAGGTGGCCCTTTTCCTTTAAGTAGGTACAGTTTGATCTGTTGATCAAGCTTATACTAATGAAAATGTATTGAGCAGCTTTAGCAGTCAAAATCTACTAAAAAACCTCAATTTATTTATTAAAGATTGTGGCTAACATTTCCACACATTGTTGTTAAACAATTTTGAACTTCAGATCAAGATAATATGTGGGACAGTGACTGTAGCTGATTTGGTCTCAGTTTGGTCATTGCATTTTGATAGGTATTCCATGATAAAAATGAAAACAAATGTAATCACTTAGACCTTGAATATTTAGTCGTGACATGAAGAGTCAACAATGAGACACATACCTACTGATTGCTGAGTCATTAGTTCCAAAAATGCATTATTACCTGTCTATTGCACATACTGCCAAAATTTCATGAAAATACTGATAACACACAACAGCCAAATCATGGTATCAAAGGTTAAATCTAGGTTTTTGGTCTATCCCTTGCTTAATGCCTGGGAGCACAAATAAAGTAGGAATTTATTCAAAGAGCCCACTTTTGTCACTTTTTTGCATTTTCATGCAAAAGTCCTTCTTTGAAGTTGTAATATTGCATTGCTTTTCAGTGAAGAAAATGAAAGGTAAAATAAAAGGTTTTGTGTGCCCATATTGCTGAGTTTGTATGGTATTTATGATCATATGTATCATAAGTTGGATACGTGTCTTTTATTAGGTATGTCATTGTCATCAAAATATTCACACCCTTTTTAGAAACTTGAGCTATGCAGGAATCTTAGTTAAATTATAATCTATACAATGGAGAAAGTGTCATCAAATATCAATGCTCCTTACAATATCATCACATCCAGTATCATGCCAGTATGTGACATGTGTGCCATGCTGCCCAGTCACATAAATGGAACATCCTCCATCCCCACCCAATAATCCCCCTCCCCCCCCCCAGCATCAGCCCATGGTGGTTCAAGGTCCAATACTCTTGTGTGTGTCCGCCGTTAGTCGCCGCCCATTGCGGAGCGCTGGTCAAGGAGAGTCGGCCGGTACCGCCGCACGAAACCGTGGGCTCAGCGGCCGACCGGTGTTTATTGGTGTTTGGCACGATGTCGCGATAACGTTTGTACGGCTGGACGTGGACGGATCAGCGTCAGTAGGGCTCAGCTGCAAAGGTCAGCAGACATGACTGTACGATGCGGTGTGGACGGGCGAGCGGCAGTACGGCAGGGTTGTTCGGGTGGGCCGGCCCTATCCGTTTGGTACGGTCTGTATGGGCCAGCCAGCGTCGTCATGGTGGTGCGACATTTACTAGATAGCTTCCATATAATTGAGAAATATCGCTAATCCCTTGTTCGCGCCTCGCTGCTTTGAACTCGCCCTGGTGTCGTTTTAACAGGGAAGTGTCTAACAATACTGTGATCTGACCGATGTGTTCCCCTGTCACAGGAGGATGCCCCCGCTGCTGCTACTGCTGCTGCTGTCGGCGGCGGCGGCCGGCGCCGGCGGCTGCCCGGTCGACTGCAGCTGCCCCTCGGTCGGCGCGGCGCTCTGCCGCGGCTGGCCGGCCGCCGCGGCTCTCTCCAACGTCACCCGTCTGGAGGTGCGCGGTGCCGCCGGGTCACCGCCGAACGGCCTGTTCGCCAACGCCTCACTGCTGGAGACGCTGCAGCTGCGCGACTGCGCGCGCCTCCGGCTGGCCGAGCGCAGTCTGGTCGGCCTGCACCTGCTCCGACACATGTCCGCGCCCGACTGCGGCCTCTCGGCGCTGCCGGCGCACGGACTGGCGCTGCTGCCCCGGCTGGAGGAGCTCGACCTCTCTGGTAACCGGCTGACGCGTCTGCACCGACACCAGTTCACCTACAACACACACCTGGCGCGGCTCAACCTCTCCGGAAACCCGCTGGCCGGCGGCGTACACTCGGAGGCGTTTTTCGGCGCCGAGCGGCTGCGCGATCTGGACCTGAGCGGGTGCCGGCTGCGCCGCGCTCCCGGCACCTGGTTCCGCCGTCTGCCGGCCCTGCAGAGGCTCGTGTTGGCCGGGAACGAACTGACCAGCGTGCGCCGGGTGGATACCCGCGACTGGCGCTCGCTGAGGCATCTTGACCTCTCGGCCAATGCCATATCGCACGTGGAGCGCGGTGCGTTCAACGTATCGACGAACCTGACGCATGTCAATCTGTCTGGGAACTATCTGAGTGAGCTTCTCGGCACGGGGCTGAACTGCAGCGAACTGGACCTCAGCAACAACTCGTTTACGGTGGCGAATCGTTCGTACGTGGAGCTGCCCGGTCGGCTGAGGGCTCTCACTCTGACAAGCTGTGGGCGACTGATGCACGTCGGGCGTAATCTGCTCCAGTTCAGCCTCGGCGTTCAGACGGTCAACATCAGCTCGAACGGCATGCTGACGGAAATAGAGCACACGACTTTCAGCCACCTGGATCGCCTGAAAGTGGTGGACCTGTCTGGGAATGCTCTGGAGAAGCTGCCGCGCAGTCTGTCCACTGCAACTCTGGACACACTCGAGCTGGTCGACAACAACTTCAGCTGTGACTGCAGTCTGCAGTGGTACAGCCGCGCGCACCCGCTGTCACCTCTCACGTGCCGTATGGGCGACTCGACGGCTCGTCTGGCCGACGGGTTGGCTCACGTGCTGTGCGAGCCGGTCTCTGTGACTGTTCACCAGACCCAGGCGTGGGCGCCGTACAACGCTACGGCCACCCTCGAGTGTCAGCCGGCGGGCCACCCGGCGCCGGCGCTCACCTGGATCACGCCGCAGCGGTACGTGTTCCACTGGGTGCCCGAAGATGCGGACGATGCCGGAGACCGCCTCCACCCCGACCGGCACACGGCGCATCTCGACGAGCACCGCGAGCTCGATCACTACCGCGTGCTGTCCGACGGGCGGCTGCAGATCAGCGGTGTGGCAGAGCGCCACCGTGGCCGGTACGTGTGTCTGGCGGAGGGAGACGCCGGCTCGGCGGCCGGCGGTGTCTACCTGACTGTGGGCGTCAACAGCCTGCATGATGTGAAGATGATGGCGCTGCTGATGGCACTCACCGGCTGCGTCACGGCCATCACCTTCGCGCTGGTCGTCAGACTCGGCCTGTACATCTTCTACAAGTGAGTACCGCTCCCGTGGGTGTTTTGGGGACCTGTGTCCTGTCCGAAATTAGCTGTGTTGTTTCGTCGGGTAGAGAGAACGGAAACCTCCCAGTCGTCAACCTGATACATAGTACATAGCTCCATGTTACCTGCCATCAATTATCGATTATCTTGTATTACGTAACTACGGCTTTCGTGAATAGGCGCCCGAAACTTATCAAGACACGCCTTAGGAATATTACATGGACTCGCGAGCTACAGTCGGGCAGAGAAGCACTGTGTAACCAGCCCATTTGTTTCAAAGCATCTGCTTTTGTGCCTCCTCTGTCCAATGTATGTAGGTAGATCTATGATTTTTTTATTGCCGTATTAGGGAGTCTGCGGCGAATGGGTTTCATTGTATAAGTAAGTTTGAACCAATTTCGGTAAATGGAGCCTCTTGTCGAATGCCAACTCGTTAGATAGACTCAAATATGCTGTTATTAGCTTTAGTATCCTAGTTGTTAGAAGTTTTGACTACCTACCAGGCTTGCTAAAAGCGGCCGACGCGGGTGCATTGGGCACATTTGCATTCGTTTCAGGTCGCACTTTACACCACCGGCAGTGGGTAGATCAATAAGTTAGGGTACAGACCCAAGGGCACCTACCGCATCCGTCAGTGGGGGGGGGGGGGCACCTACCCTGCTAGCTGGACTTCACAGATACGAACGGCTTGTTTGAGCTCATTGGAAGGGTCGATTTTCGTTTATAAGTGACTGGTGACGCTGGACGGTCTCTAATTAATGACAGCAGACATTTGCGCCAGGTGTTTTCAGCTAGTCTGCTGTAATAGGGAGGCGCTATTTCCAAAAACAGCCCCGCCTTCAGACTATTGGTAATCGGTAATTGAGCGACCGAAGCTCCAGAACATTAGGCGCGGTCTAGCCACTATCGGCGAAACTGACGTAGACCAATGGTAAACGACGCCGTGACTCGTGGGAAAGGGATCTACGCTGTGAATAGCTCAACCACTGTGACGTTTGGACCGTGCTGCGGGGTGGCAGTATGGGCCGAGCGGCCTTGCCAGTACCAGTTTTTCGTGGTTTCCGCTCCCCTCCCCCTCATTCCCGCCCCGTCGGTGTTGTGAAAGTGACCGGACGCCTTTCGCTAAGTGGTGCTTTGCAAGTTGCTTTTCATGAATAACGTGGTTTGGTCGGGTTAAGTGGAGCCTTTTCCCGTGACTCGGTTGGTTTTGCCGCCGCCTACGCATTGTGCTATTTTATGCCAGCTGAATTTAGTAATTTATGTTTCCGTAACACGTGTTTAGAGTTTGGCTTACGTCAGGGTTCTATATTTCTCCAGATATTTTTATCTGGCTGATGACATAAGTTCAGTCGCCTGCCTGGGCCTGTCATACCACAGTGGCCGCCCCATCCACCTGACGGGAAATGATGGGGCTCCCCCTGGCCAAATAACATTGCGCCTCTGCCGGGGCTGTCCAACTGGCAGCACTTCTCCTCTTGTCCTATCCAAATGGCAGTGCTGCTCCATCTAACAGGCATGGCTTCTCTTGCTGCCTACTCTACCCAAATGCCTTCTCCTGCTGCTGTTTCCAACTGACTTTGCTTCCCCTCCCGTGCCGACTGCCGACCAAATGACAGTACCACTGCGCTATTCCCATCGTCCCGTCTGAGACCCATGCTGTATCGATGGCCGACGGTGGCACCGCGCCCACGGCGGCAGGTGGAGGGCGCCGGAACGCCCCCCGCTGCTGGGCGCCGGTTTGTTGTGCCCTGCCGGACCTGGTCGCCGCCCCCCCCCCCCGTCCTCCCCCCGCCCCGTCAGCGGGCGGGTCTCGGCGTGGCGTGATCGTTCCATTGATTTCGGATGGCCGACTCATGTCCGAGCACCCAAGCAACTAGACGGTACCGGCAGTGCTTAGAGCGACAGCAGTGCCGGAACGGTATCCGCATCGCGCACTCGTTCAATGTGTTTTATGGATTTTTAAGGACATGGACGTTCGCTGCTATTCGCTTAATTAAAGTTGACTTCATGGTGTCCGTTTAAACTATACAGGGTGGAAAGTAATTACGCGAACATGTATTTTCTTACAATTTTGACCGTCAGTGGAGCATTTTTATGAGTACGGGCTGTCATGGAACATAATTGGTCGTGTTTGTTGTCGCCTCATCTACCAAAAGTGACCTAACTTTGAACAATGACCTGGAAGGTCTTAAACAACCTCTCGACTTAAAATGGTGCAGACACCATACGCTGCACAAGACCGAAATGGGCAAAGAGCTCAATTTGGAGCTGCCAGGGAAAGCGTTTGTGATTATTTTCGCTGGACTGGCGGAGAAGGGATTCGTAGCGGTCTCAGCACCAGCATTGCACAATTATACGTTTTTTTAAACATAATAACACTTGAGAGGACTTAAAAGCAAAGCCGTCCGCGGCAGCAACCCCTCGTCGAATTCTGTCGCCGGGCGGGTGGTCACCATGTCGGCGACAAAACGACGCCAGTCGACCCGAAAACTGGCAAAATAGCTTACTCTGGCCGGGTACCCGATCTAGGATATCACGATTCGCACATTAATACGCAAAAATTCGAAAATTAAGTCGTACAAACCCTCGGGATGACCAAAATTCACAAATTAACAGCAGAATTGTTAATTGAAGCTTTTCAAAGACAATCAAAGATGGACAGAGGAGGACAGGCAGCTGGATTTATGGTTGGGTGAGACATCTGTGAAACTGTTTCATCCGTCAAACCTGCAGAACAACTGCTCTGAGGGCTGCTGTTGCGTCCTATGTCCCGTCCGTCCCAACCTTCAAACATCCGGCAAAGGAACACATCAGTGGGTCACGAGCCCCCGGGTGGTGTCAGAATTGCGTGTAGCGCTAAAAAAGTCACTAAAAATAAAGTATACAACCGGTGGAACATCCTCCAAGACGAGTGTCTGTGTCTAATCCACCGTGCAACGAAAGGGGCAAAATGATTGAGCGCACTTTTGTGCCCGACGCAAAGAAACTGCTCTTCGTGATTGGTGAAATCCTTACTTTCATGGCCAACAAAACGCAATACTGGTGCTGTGAGAACCTGTTTTTCTTCAGGACATACAAAAGCTGATCTGGGAAACGCCTGGGCCTCAATTCGACTAAAAATCTCCAGATGACTCCTCAGGAGACCGTCTAAAAGCTGCAAGGAGCCACCAATACCGATTACCTCACTGGACAGCTCTATAAGGTGTGGGCTGAGCTTTGGCCAACAGATCTTCACATGCTGATGTAAATCATGCCGGAATGCCTATGCCAATGCATCGCAACTAGATAAGGATAAAGTAAAACATATATTGTTTATGTCACCGCCGTTTTTTTCATTACTAGAAGACGAAAAAGTATGTTCGCGTAATTACTTTCCACCCTGTAAGCTGTATCCTAAAGTGTTAGGTTAAATGGACGATGGCATTAGGGCGAGCTAGAAATCAGAATCAAATGGTTATAACAGGTTCAATATCAATGGCAGTTGTATCGGGTGTTACATTCTTTCAGTGTCACAAGTAAACTTAGTATTCCGTCGTCGTTCAGACGAGAACCACGCCGTCCGCAGCCGGCCTGAATATGCCGTTACATATCAGTGAGTCATCTAAGCGATTACACCGTTTTCCGAACTGGGACCGTCCACACAGTCTGTCCGTTCCCCATTTGTGGACCCTGTCTCCACTTGTGGACACACATGCTATGCTGGTCCATGACCCCGCGCTATCGACGATTCGAAGAAAGGTTTCCGGCTGTCTTCTCAGTATTGGCTTTTTCCACGGGTGGTGTTCTTTTTCACTGTGCAACCTGTCTCCCGCCAAAGGATATGTATCGACGTTCTTGTTTTCTGTGGTTCGCTATCGACTAACGCTTACCTCGTTGCGCACTCTGCAACTACTACAAGCCTTCTTGTAAACCATGGAGACTTGTATCTGATTCGCTGGTAGTTTTGCTTCATCGCATATTCCTTGGGCCTAACTTCGCTGGTAGTTTTGTTTTGTCGCATAATCCTTGGGACTGTTTTGGTCTCTTCGGATCCCTTCTTCCGTCTACGATCAACACAAGTGCTTCATGGTTACTGAAGAAAAGTGTTGATACGAGACAGAATATAGCAAATAACCAACTTGCTATCTCTATCGAACTGCTGGCATTCAGTTTTAGATCAATGATATGACTTGGAATCTGTGTTATTTGAGTCTCTACTCTCTATTAGAACTCTGACCGTGTCTGTCTTTTTTATGTCCTAACCTAATGCTTTATGTAATGGTGACCTGATCTGATCTCCATCACCCATTACCCCTCCCCAGGTGCGGCTGCTGCATCTGCTGCACTGACGAGCTGCCGCCGCGGGCCAAAATCAAGGGCATGGTGGACTCTATGGAGCAGTGGCGCGCCCTGCAGCTGGCCAGCCTGCGGGAGAGCTACAACCAGCAGGTGGCCGGCATTAAGGACAGCTGCTACCAGCAAGTGGAGCGCATCCGCGACACCTACAAGGGCCAGGCGCGCTACGTGAGCGACATGCGCGACTACGGCGCGCAGCAGATCGAGGGATTCAGGGAGCAGTACCTGGACCAGGTGAGTAATGGGGAGAGAAGGGGCAGCGGGAGAGGGGAGAAGGTAGGTGAGGGACGGGGTTTGATGGCGCGTAAAGGGGAATATGTGATGGCAGGCCATTCGGGGAAGAAGAGGAGAGAGTCGTAGAGAGATGGCTTTGAAGAGCCGTGCACCGGATAAGTCTTATGGGTTGCAATGCGGTGTGCTGACTGCTGATTGAGTGGCATACAACTGTAACTTGTAGCAGTTCGGAAGCTTTTCCTTGCAGTTGACTCAGCTCTGGGACTCAGTGCCGGATCAGCTGTTTCTTCCTGTTCAATGACGGCCATGCTGTTGGCACTAATGCGGCTTAGCACTGTGATATTTGTGATATTCAGCAAAACAAGTTCCTGATTTCAACGAATTATAGCTGATCGTTGTGATTGTGAACGTTATAAGCCTTTGAATCATCACGGTTTTCCCTTTGTTTGATAGTTTTGTGCATGATGTCTTACTTACTATATGTCCGGTAAAACGTCAGTGAGATAATCTCACCTCACCCTGTTCGAGTTCAGTCGAGTTTCAGTTCCATTACGTTGATCCGCTTCAGTATGTATCGGTTTCTATAGTTGTTCGCATCAATCGCCTGACTCTCTCGTCTTTCTATAACAATTATTTTCAAGGCTTTTGCAAGCTGAATTGCAGAAGCGCTTTCCAGGTTTCTGCAACAAACTCCATGGGCTCCATATTTATTGGCATACCGTTGCATAGCTGCTCTATCATATCTCTTCGTGGCTTTCCTTGTCAAGCAGCATCAAGGACGCCCCAGTGTTTTCCAAATATGGTAAAAGGTAAAAGTAACAAGGTAAACGAACACCCAAATGACATCATTTTGGAACGTTGTCGACCTACAGTTTCTAGCCCTGCAGGATGGGAGTTTCCGTAGCGCAGCTGGACCCAGCTGGATAATTTTCCAGCTGCCGCTAGGCGTCGCTACTCCTCGCACCGCTGACCGGGGTCCTCGCCCCCCAGGTACGCCGAGTTCGCGACTATTCTCTCGGCCAAATGAACCGCGTCCACGAGAACTACATCTTCCAGCGGAACCGAATCCGCAAGTTCAGCGCCCACCAGCGCGTGCGACTGCGCGAGACCTACAAGTACCAGCAGAAGACGTTGAACAAACTGTTGGAGACGCTGCCGGACCTGTACCTGCAGAACTGTCGCACCGGCACCTGCCAGCGAACCGAGAGCATGATGCTGCCTGGGGATCAGCATTTCTACTGTGACGCTGACGTGGAGTGGTCGGCGGAGCAGCTGGCGGCTATGGCTGATCTCTATCCGCCCGGTGAGCAGCTGGATGCCACAGCAGAGGAAGGAGAGGAGCCCGAGCTACCCACCGTGGCCGGCGCCGAGCTGACGCGCCGGCTGCTGGCGCTGGCACCGGCCCTGGAGGCGGCAGACCGGGAGGCGGCTCGTCGAGAGGCCGAGAGAGAGCAGGAGGAGCAGGGAGAGGGAGCGAGGCGCCGCCAGGGCGGAGTTCGGGATACGGACGGGGCAGCGGCAGAGCAGCTTCTGGTCGCCGCCCGGCCGCTCGGCGCCGAGAGGCCGCGCCTGGAGAGCCATGACCCCGAGCCGGAGTCTGAGTCGGCCGACGAATGGTCGGAGGCACCGCCTGCCTCACCTCCCGCCGCGCCGGCGGTGGCGGCGGCGGCAGCAGTGGCGGCGGCAGCGCCAGCGCCAGCGGCGGAAGCGGCGGAGGGGGAGCGAGCCGCCGACGCGCCGCTGAGGGTCCGCGCAGTTCGCAGTGACGGCGTCTGTCCCAGCGAGGTGGAGGTGGTCGTCCTGGAGAGGGGCCGCGCCAGCTCCGATGATGGTCAGGCGGAGAGCTCGTGCTGAGGGCGCCTGCAGACGGCGGCAGCTAGTAAGGACATTCCGGGTGCCCGGGTAGCGTGCCCGGGCCGACCGACTGTGTGATAACGGGTCCGCTGCGCCGGCGGAGAGCAGCCGCTGCGGGCGCCACCCCCTCCCTCCCGACCATATATTAGTTAGAACGCCAGCGGACATTGGTACCGAACTGAACCCGGCAACGCCAGTGGCAGATTCTAGCAGCCACACAACCCCGGTGATGCTGCAGTGCATGTTCGCGTCTTTATTCTCTGTGCGTTCCCGGGCTGGGACTGGACAGGTGTCTGTTCGCCGTTTGGTGGCGTTGGCTCCGCCCGCAGTCTAGTGAGCGATATGCAAACCCGTCGGACTGTTACTATACTTCTCTCTCCTCGCGTGGATGTCTACGCTCGTCCGTCGTTGCGCGCACCGGTGCGCGGCTCTGGAGAGCTCTCGAATGTCCGCTCGGGCGCGCGTTCGAGGCTCATTGTGGTGTTGTAAGTGCAGGTGGCGTACGGACGCAAATATGCTCAGTTATGTTGACGGACCCAGGCCGGGCCTCGGACATCAATTATGCTGTATGTGATGTGTCATAAAACGCTGGCAGTCGCCCAGCCCTTGTCAGTGCTCAGTTACGGTAGTACGGGCACCAATCGTATTAGCATGTGCCGGCGTGCGCTGCGCCGATTTATTCTCTAACTTATATTGACGACGAGCGAATAACTGTTGGATGTGCGTGGGGCCCTGATGTCGGCGCAGGAGCTTACCGGCGACAGGACTGTCAGGCGCCTGGTGTGTGGACGTTGAACGATCGCAGCTGTCTTCGTCTTCGTCGCCAGCCGGCGTGTATTCTAGTTCATGCCAGCTGCGTACTTGTGATAGTGCAAATATATATCCTATTCCCGCATTGAGATGCTGTTTGTGATGAGTTGCGCAGGATTTACTCAGATTACCAATCCACAACATGCGACTCGTCGAATTCCTCGTTGTCTGTCGCCTGAGCTCGAGCTGAAAATCTCACAAAACTGCGGCGGCTCTCGGACTGCTGTGAACTCATCGAGCGTCGTTGGAAGCACCTTATCTTTCAAGCACTTCATTTCGCAGACTTTATTGTCAACAACTGGCATTGCATAACAGGGATTTCATGCAGCATTGCACTGACCGGGCCACACAGGCGCAAACATGATACACTATCTTATCAAAGGGACCCAGAGAACTCGCCTATCAACAGTAATTCATCTCACTGCTTCGCCTCCGGGCCTCAGTGAGTCACCGGTTGACTGGGAAAGGGATGGATATATGCGGGTGGAGAAGGATGTGTCCTTCGTCAGGATCCCAGCTAACTGAAGTAGACTGGGGTTTTATTTAGACCTCCATACTATGGTTCCATTTGTACCTTTAGTACACCGCTTCCTCATTGAACCTTGGTAGAGCTAACACACTAAGAAGCCTCATATGTTCATTGAACAAGCATACGGGCAAAAGGATAAGTTATTGGTCACTAATTTCAATGTTACTAGGGATGAATGATGAACTGCTGAAACTTATCGTTCGCTTCGATGCTCGAGTATGCAACCTTTTTGTGTTGTACCATTTTCAAGCTCAAGGAAAATCATCCGGAGTCCCGACCTTCTTTCTGTCTTCTCCCCAGCGTGGTCGCGGGTCAAACATGAACAAAGTAGCACCTCCCCCACAACCACCTCAACCATCTCTCCGGCCTCAGAGTTAGAGCCTCCCCCTCCACCCCTCAGCGCGGTCCAGTGACCTCACCACTCCTCTCCAGCGCTTCAACCACCTGCAGTCTACCGCTGTGACTGAGGTACGCATACCAGTACACCGTGTTCACCGCTAGAAACACAGCCGGAAACAGCACCCGACTACTGCGGTCTATCTTTGACACAGAGTTGAACTGAGTCGGCATTGAGCCCGTCGCCGGAGAGTCCGGTCGAGGTCTTCGCTGCCGGCGCCGCCGCCGTGGGCCGAGCTTCCTCCGCCGGCCGCTGGGCGGCAGCACTGTCGCCGCCAGGTGGCAGGGCGGAGGTCGGGGCAGCGCCCGCTGGGGGCTCAGGTCGATGTAGAGGGCGGGCCCGTGCGGAGACGGGTCGGAGACGGTGAGAGGGCTGTGGTCCGAGTACAGAGCCGTCTGTCGGCAGAGGGAGGGGAGGAGCTTGTCACTGGACGTTGGTCGTACAGTCGTCAAGATCGCCGATCACGGTCCATGGTCAGCATCATGATTCATGAACAGTCACGGTCACCGATCTACTACACCTTTTTGCGTTGTTCGATGGCCAATCAGCAAAACCCATTCGTCCGATCAGCACATAGGTGGCGCCAGTGAGAGGCATTCCGGCAAAACCTTCAGCATATGGGCAAAACGGAATGCTGATCCCACTCCACAGTTCGTCAGTTGGTATTATCTTCGCTATTCGCCATAAGTGATTGAGTTCCGGCAAAATCTTTGACGATTTGGATAAATGCTTCGTCATTCGTTAATATCCCTTCGTCTTTCACCAAAACATCCCTATGCTAATTTCGGCATTCCTCATAACATTTCGTCAAAGCTAAAAACAAATCGCCCCTTTACAGAGAAGTATAAATATGACCACGTTTATACAGTGCAGTGGGAGGCATAGGTGGCGAAACTCGTAGGCCATTTATCCACATAAAAATTGGTAGCGTTCATGTGCGCCATTGCATAGGTAAGTACAATGTAGATGAACGTAGCTCACATGTTATCGGCTGATTGAAAAATGGACAGGCAACAGAGCAACAGGCTAGATAAGTTAACCCCGCCTCAAACACCAAGGTGTCACCAAGGAACAGGCAACAGGCTGGATAAGTGAGCCACGCCCCAAACACCAAGGTGTCCGGCCGGCAGGGCCCGGCTCGCCATCTGTCAGCCATTCCCTCGCGAGTCCGACCGGCGCGGCCGCCCGAGGCGTTGTCCCATGATGACATCGCACGTGCAGTGACGCGATAACGACGGCCGACTTCGTGGTTTGTATCGAAGCGCTTAGGAGTCTGACGCTCAACCATCTATGTACATGCCTACTCGGTATTGTGCCGGCAGTCTCCTTGTAGCTATCGTATAATTGCCTTTTTCGGAATCCAATGGTTAATTGGTTGCAAATTGCGCTGGAACTGTCACAAGCCTCATCCATGAATGTGTGATTAACGTTAAACATTTAATATGGCTAGATAAGCACTACATCATTGACATTTTGATCATTGACGAAAGTTTTAAATCAACAGTCATTGTTTACGCACAGTACCGATGAATTTTGCACAACGAGTAACCATTTTGTGAAATGTCGAAGCATTATGACAATCTGACAAAGTGTTTTGCCTATGACGAACATTGTGCTCAATGACAAAGAGTTATGCAGAGTGGTTAAATGGAGTCCAGCCTGTTTTGCCGACCGTCAAACAGTGATGCACATCGCCGATGGGTTATTCTGAATGACGCTTGTTCAAACTGATGCCGAAATGGTTGTGACGATTGGCCATCGAACAACGCAAAAAGGTGTAGTAGTCCATGGTCCATTAGTATTTAGCTATCAATAGAGATCTTTTGAATGTAAGAACACAAAACAAAAATGCAATGTTTCTTTGAGTCAATATGCTGCATGATTTATAACGCACGTCTATAGAGCAATTCCATCAAATTGTCAAATATTCGCCACTGTTACATACGTACCCGCTCATTGGGAGACTCCTCAGGCACCTCTTCCTCAGACTCTGAGGACTCATCGTCTGAATCCTCCGAGGACGACTGTGGCTGAGGAAAGTACACCTCGCCGTAGCCGTACTTCGTGAAAAAGTGCACAAATGCAAACTGGGGAATAGCATGGGCGGGGTCAGTGGACACGCGTGAATGTTGGTACAGGCAAGGCAAAAGACTGCTTTGGATACTATTGCGACCAGAATCAATTCGCTTGAAGCATAATCCAAACTTTGCGTGCAATAACTAAACAATACCTTTTTGTTGTGAAGTGTTTGAGCCGTTCACGACGTTTCTCCCATCTATTTACAACGGCAAATACATATAAAACCTCTGAGCATCCTATCACAAGTAGGTAGGCATATCTTAACACGATTACACAATGCACAGACCACCGGTAGCTTGTTGTTTTTTCCTACTGCGAAAAGGCTCACCTGTACAATGCTAGCGAATATGAATCCGTAGGCTATCCAGAGGAAGAGGTCCAGGGCCGTCGAGTAGGGCACCTTGGGCAGATCGGTGCGGGCCTCCAGACCCAGGAAGGTCATGGTGAGCACCGTGGTGACCCCTGCAACGTTCCATGGACATGTCACAGAGGAGTGAACAGTCAACGATGCACGAATCCCTGTCAAACTTTGTGCTACACTTCACTTTGAGGATAAAGCAGAATCAAATGAAGTTAGACGATTAGCGGAAACACATCTTACAGAAAGTCAAAGAAGTTCCGAAAATGCGACAATTTCTACCCTTATACATTGGCACGGTTAGTGTATCAATGTCTCTCCCTCCAAAAGCCAGATTCTGAGTCTCACAGCACTCACCAAGTGAGATTCTGTCGGCAGTGGCCTCCCGGTTGAGCCAAAAGGAGACCCACGACAGCACCACCAGCAGAACGCTCGGCCCGTACACCTGGATCATGAAGTTGCCCATGTGACGTCGAAGGTGGAAGCTCACCCACAGCTGTGAGAAGTTGCCTGTGGGCGTAATAAACCCGGTGAGAAGGTCTGAGCGAAGGAATAGGAAGCCACAGAGAGTGGGCTGCAATGGTTGCTCTGCCGCTCAACAGATGTCAGCAGCAGTAGCGCCTGAAGGTAGACTGTACCGCACGGCACTAGCAGATGCTGTTGTATGTACTACTCAATAGATGGCAGCGGCAGTAACGCCTGTAGGCAGACTGCACCGCACAGCACTAGCGGTAGGTTGCGCTACCGCTCACTAGATGGCAGTAGCAGTAACGCCTGTAAGTAGACTGCACCGCAGAGCACTAGCATTAGGTTTCGCTACCGCTCACTAGATGGCAGTAGCAGTAGCGCCTGTAGGTAGACTGCACCGCAAAGAACTAGCACTAGATTATGCTACCGCTCAATAGATGGCAGGAGCAGTAACGCCTGCAGATAGACTGTACCGCATAGCTCGACGATTCAACTGAGATCTTGACAAGTATGGGAGCTGGGAACGATGAATAACTGGAATGATCATGAAAATAAATAAGTAGTTAGGTAATCGTTCGAACCCTGTATACGATTAATGTGCATCAGCAAAGCATTGATCACTAATTGTGAGCAACATCTCTCTAGCTTAGCATCCATACCTACAGTCTACTTTACCGACCTCTCTTATCAGTCGCACCGTTCCGTGCTTCTATCCTCAGGATACTGAAATCCTTCTCCTCCACACCGCAACCCCCCTCCGGACTGGACAGGCAACTTTATCTCATGCGGGCTGCTCCCTTGGAGCGGCACCGCTGCTCCCGAGGGAGCGCACCCCGTAGCCGGGTGCAGTGAGTACTTTGGGGCTGGGTGGCCTGTCCTCTGGACGGGCTCAGCCCCGGTGACTCACTAGGGTGCCTGCCCAGACCAATGTCTCCCCCTATATCCTATCATCCTTCCGGCTCCGCAATGGTCTTGTCAGACCGAAAGGGCCTAACCCAACAAAACAAACAATCAGTCGCCCTCGGCCATGACACCATCAGCCGAGTCTCACCGCGCGTGTTGTGGTCGGTCCTCTCGCCGGCCGGCGTGCGGATCAGGTCAAACTGGGAGAGCTCCAGGTCCTGGGAGATGGTCACCTCTCGGCGGCTCTCGGTCCAACGGTAGAGCACGTCGTGCTCCGTGTAGCCGACTGGACCGGAAGATAGGAGGTGCAGTCGCAGTGGAAGATAGGACGCCCGTTAGTTAATACGTCAGAGACATACACATGCCATAATTATTAGGGGGAATGGAAAAGTCATGAACTCATCCAAACTGATAAAAGCACTGAATACATGCATAGATACATAAAGGCCACAAATGCATTTTTCCTCGATCACCATGTGATTTTTTATCTCATCTACTATCTGGTCATGTATTGCTCTTGTGTAAATCGGGCTAGCATCTCTCGGGCATCGGTTGAATATATATAAAAAAAAAATAACGTATCAACCAACGACATGTCATCTGTGTCGGGGATTTGAGCTGCTCGGTTGCTCGTTTCGATGCATTTTACTTACAGCTTCCAAAGTGCAGTGGACATCTTTGGGTGTCCATGGGAAAGTCCTGCAGGTTCATCGGACAGTTGGCCTGGATCGTCATTCTGAAACACAAGGTGACGAAGTGTGATATCCGACAAGTAATCCCATCGTGAATCTATGCAAAATTTCATCCGCCCTAAGAGTTTGAGCCCAATGACCGTCGAATGGCTTTGATGCATAAAAATATTGCTTTGAGAATTAACTACCAAACTTATCGTACCCAGACATCTTTATTACTCTTACCAGGCATCGGTAAAATCCTTTTTGAAAGGATTGCATTCCCAATCCACATTCCTAGTGCCGAAGTGGATTGCATTCCTACCCGCAATCCCCTTTTTTCACTTGGATTGTGATCAAATCTGCAATCCTTTTTTGCAATCCTGTTGTATTATTATGTGCACTAGTGGATCTGGGGGAGGGAGGGGGCATAGGGCCGTAGCTCCATCCCCAAATCACCCATTTCTAGTACCTAGTCTTGCGAGTAATTCCTATCTAAGGGCGGCACAGGTATTTTATGGGAAATATTTTTTTGCCTCAAACACCCCCACATTAATACCTCTACCCAACCAGTGTTTTATATTTTTAAAACTCGCCCTCAAATAGGTACGTAACTTTGCCCTTCCTATGTAGTTCATCAGCGTATATTATTTTGAGCGTTTAAATTAAAAGCGTTTAAATTATTTCAAGTTTCGATGTAAAGCCCTTGATAGCAAAGTACATTAAGCCGATGAAGCCGATCTCATAATTTTCAATCGCAACAAACCATTTCAAAGCACTAATCAAACACAATCTGGATTGGATTGCAAAAATTGGAAGTATGATGCAATCCAATCCGCAATCAAATCCTGTTTTTTTTAATGGATTTCAAATCCAGGTGCAATCCACCAAAAAGGAATGCAATCAGGATTTTGCAATCCTGCAATCACAATCCTACCGATGCCTGCTCTTTACCAACACTGACACTCCTGCATAAAAATTGCGTTTATATCGGATCATCAATCTCCACAAGCCCTTTGCCACCCCCACCCCCAGCCGGCCGCCTACCTGGCCGAGTAGAGCACCTTCCCAGTGCGGTACAGGCGGACAAACTTGTTGGGCGTGGTGATCTTGTGCAGCCGACTGCGGCGGCCGTTGAAGAAGAACGTATCCGGTTTCCAGATACGCTCCAGGGTCGACACACTAAGGCTGAGCACGTCCAGCTCGAGGTCCTCGAACGCCAGCCGCTGGTCCACCCACGACTGACGGAAGTAGCAGTTCATCGAGTAGGTCTGAAAATGACCGCCAGACAGGCGACAAGTGAGCTTTTTGGAGCCCTTTCGGCCTTTCAGGCCATGACGTAGCTATGGGATGATATGATAGGGTGCAGATATTGGACTGTACGGATCAACGACGGTGCATCGGAACAAAACCCACCGTCCCACCGTTCGGTCGGTGGGACAGAACCGTCCTAATGGGTACCAACTTATATAAGTCTACTCTGTAATACAGCATTCTCCATTACAGGCTTTATACTTTACAGATAGTCCATTTCTGTTGAACAATTATTCAACACGCCGTATTTTCTTTAGCACGCTCTCTCGTTTAACAGTCGCCTGTTGTTTATATCGTAAACATGCACCCGTTAGTGTTTGATCGGCAGTCAGTCTCCTAAGTGTCTGAGCTGCGCGATCAGCGAAGTTTGCTCGGGCGTGTGGGCCTCGTGTCTCCCGGGACCACGAGAATGCGAATGATTGATCGGTCGTGTGCAGTGGGGCATCGTACACCGCATCAGCATGTTATCGTTCCGTTCGTTTCTGTGTGGTTGCCAGGGTATGCAAAAAAAAGAGTAAAAAGCAATATACCAGTCAATAATTTTACAAGATTATTTGCCCGATATGCAGCACCATTCCAGATCGTCTGAGATCATTTCAAATCCACTCAAGAAGAACACGCAATGCAAATTCATGGCCACATTTATTCCAAACGATGCAAAACAAGTTATTGCTGATTTAGCGTGATGTAAAATCTACACATCTAATAAAAAAGTAATAGCAGTCTATGATGTCTACATGACCGGTAGAAAACGGATGCAGTTAGCTATTGAAACGTCGAGTGATTAAAAGACAGAGGCAAAAGACGCCAGATATTGTTATCAACAGTGATAAAAAAGCACTACAAAAGTCGTCATAACATGTCCAAAGGCAAAGCACGTCAGAATCCATAGAGTCATCGGTTAATCGCTGTCAGCGTCTCGCCTGTAGTCCATCCACGCGTCGGGGGCTGCGGCCGCCGGAGCAGCGCCGTCCTCCCGATCAGCCCCGTTGCCGGCAATCCGCCGGAGTTTTTCGTCTCTGGCCAGACGCTGCTGGCGGCGCCGGTCCCTCCGGCCACGGGAGAGTCTCCGCCGACTTCGGCTGGACGAGTCAGACTCATAGTCGCCCAGAGTCGGTGCTGGCCCGGCCGACTCTTCGGCAGACGCCGGCCGCGGGTCCGCGCCGCCCGGTGCAGACGCAGTTCCCGGGATCGTTCCCTGAGCCTGCCGAGGATGCGCAGCTTCAGTAGAGTGTGACGGCTGGGACGGGCTCGGGAGGTGGATGAGCTGAGAGGCCGGCTCGTGAGAGGCCGAGCGCTGGTGACGCAGCGTGGGTCGCTGTCCGGCTCCTCCACCGCGCGGCGACAGGCCCAGGGTCTGGAGTAGCGGCGACGGACGGCTGGGCGTCGGACTCGAGCTCCGGAAGACCGAGAACGCTCCGGGAGAGGCGGCCGTTGGCGGCGGACGCCCGGACGCAACCTGACGGAGCGTCTGCGGCGACGGCATCACCCCCTGGGCGACCGGGGAGAGAGGCGAGAGCGGCGCCGGAAAACGACCCTCGACCAGCGCCGGATCTATGGAGAGAGCGTCCGGGTGCTGGGAGAACGGGTGACGCAGCAGCGGGGGCAGTCCCACCGCCCGGCCTACAGACGACAGGGAGGCATACTGAGAGAACAGGGCCTGGTCCGGAACCGGGCGACGCGGGGCCGAGCCGGACGCACGTGGCTGGGCCTGGTGCCGTGCAGGTGGCTGGAAAGGACCAGCTGCAGCTGCAGCAGACGCCTGGGAGTGAGACGCGGCAGGTACTGCAGACTGGCGCTGCCGCTCAGAGGTCTGAAGATGGGCCGGGCCTGAGGCAGCTGGCTGCTGCTGGGCCGGTGGCTGGTTCGTGGCTGGCGGCTGGTCCTTGGCTGGTGGTTGGTCCTTGGCTGGAGGCTGGTCCTTGGCTGGTGGCTCGTCCTGAGCTGGAGACTGGCCCTTGGCTGGTGGCTGGTCCTTGGCTGGTGGGTGGTCCTCGGCTGGAGGCTGGTCCTTGGCTGGCTGCTGGCCTTGTACTGGTGGTGGGGCCGGGACCGGTGACTGGTCTGTGGCTGGCCTCTGGTCCGGGACCGGCGGCTGATGTGTGGCTTGCAGCTGCTGTGGAACTAGCATCTGACGTGGGGATGAGGGCCGCTCCGAGACCGGTGGCTGGTTCCTGGTTGGCAGCTGGTTTGGGGCTGGCGGATGGGCTGGTATTTGCCTGACAGGAGGTTGGCTCGATCTACGGGCTGGCACAGGATTGTGATGAGACGCCATTGCTGACTGCTGGTGGGTCTGCAGGCTGCTGGTTCTAGCAGAAGAGGTAGTTCTCCTACTGAGCATATTGGAGTTATCAGGAACTGGAGAAAGATGGTGTGAAACTAAGACTGGATTTCGAAAAACTGAAGCATGGCCCCGTGTCTGAGGCAGAGGGCGTGCCTGGAGAATAGTTGCCTGTGGCCTCGGAAGCTGTGAGAGAGGATCAGATCGGGAGGATGACGGACCACGGGCTTCAGACGGCTGCGTTGATCCTCCGGCCTGACTATGACCGCTGGACAGGTCCATCGGAGTTTCGTCCGGAGCCTGCTGAGTCCGTTCTTCGTCGTCATTCCCCGCGCGCCGCCGGCCGCGGATCTCTGGGCTGGAGTGTTCCACTCGCAGCGAGTCATGCCGAGCGATCGGAGACCGAGAGCGCACCGGGGGCGACCGGGGGCGGTCCGGTGCCGCCCTGGAGCTGCGCGCCATCAGCCCCTCGGCCTCCTGGAGTTCCTGGAGCTGCTCCTCTCGGTACTCCAGGACATGTCGAATGATCGCAGAGTTGATGAGACTCGAAGCGCCCAGGTATGCGGCCGACAAGTCGTCGTGCAGCGGTATCGGTGACACTGGCTCCGTCCTCATCTGCAGTTGCTGATCAGGGTCTCTGCTAGCGTGCGAAGGACGCTGAGACGCCTCCGGCGGCTGAAGCGGCTGCTGAGACTGGTCTTGCGGCTGCGGCTGCTGCGGCTGGCCCTGAGACTGCTGCTGCTGCGGCCGCTGGAGAATGGCAGCCGGCGGCAGGGGCTGTACTCGGACCTGCTCCTGTTGCTGAGATTGGAGTGGCGACTGCTGAGACCGAACCAGTTGCTGCTGCTGATGAAGATGCTGATGAGATCGGTCCCGCTGTTGCTGCTGTGCTGCTAGGAACTGCTGCTGCTCCTGCTGACGAGACGGGCCCTGTTGTTGCTGATGCCGAGGTCGGCACTGTTGCTCTTGATGCTGCTGAAACCGCATTTGCTGTTGCTGTTGAAACAGACGTTGCTGCTGCTGCTGTTGCTGCTGCTGCTGCTGCTGAGACCGGATCAGATGCTGCTGCAGATGAGCCCGAACCAGCTGCTGCTGCTGAGCCAGGGCCAGCGGCTGCTGTTGCTGCCGAGACTGTCCATGCTGCTGATCTTGCTGAAACCGGACAGACAGCTGCTGCCGTGGCCGGACCTGCTGCTGCTGCCGGGCCGTCGGGGTCAGCGGCTGGGGCTGTGTCGAGTCGGGCTCGACAGGCTTCTGTTCGGGGCTGTCCTCACCTGTCACATCGATCTCCTGGTCGGCGTCATCTTCGCCACCAGTCGGCAGCGAGTTGTGGGACGCGTCGGTGACGGTAATGGTCTCATAGTGAGGGGACACAGCAGCTAGACGGCGCGCCGGAGGCACTGGGATCGGGCCCTCTACGCCGCGGGAGGACGGCCCGGCTGCCTGGCCGTCGGGAGCTCGCGCCGCCTGACCGCTCACCCCGTTAGGTCCGGCGTGCTCCCCCGGCCGCCCGGAGTGCGGCGGGTGCTCTCGATGTGCCGCGCGGACTCCCGACGGGCCGGCTCCGTCGGCCGAGGGCGGTACAGCGAGCTGTCCCGCCGGCGGCTGAGCGGCGGCCGGTCTCGGCGCAACTGGGGACCAGTCGCTCTCTCCCGAGTCGGATTCTGCCGGCTCGTCCCGCAGGTTACCGGGCATCGTCGGCAGCGGTTCACCCTGGCCGAGCCGCACCCTGGCCCTTTCCTCGCCTACCCTCGGGCAGTGGTAGAGTACCGCCTGGGGCCGCCAGCCGGAGAGGCCGCCGTAGGACATTCCGGGCCGGCTGTACCGGATGGAGACGGCGATCCGCAGCAGCTGCTCGCAGGTCACCGGCCGGCCCGACGGGTGGTGCTCGCGCCAGCGGAACTCCTTGAGCCGCTCCGACAGCTCGTGGTCCCAGAGGCCGGCGATGAAGCGCCACAGCACGCGCCGGCGCCGCGAGCGGGCCAGCTCGTCGGAGAAGGCGGCCGTGGCCAGCGCCTGGAGACGCGTCATGAACGCCTCCAGAGACTCGTTCGGCTCCTGGAGGGCCTCCTCGAACCGGCGCACCAGATTCTCGACCGACTCCGGCTCCTCCGGCGGGTCGCTCCCGTCCTGCGGCCAGTTGGAGGCCATCGCTCCGGTCACTGCCGCAGCGCGCACCGATAAAAAACTAGCCTCGGTAGCCTCACTGCACGTAAATATCAATCACTGGTTTCTCAGGTGTCACTGCTAGTCACTTGCTCGCCCGCCGGCCGGCAGCCGCGCGACCCGAGGTCACGACGGTCACCGCCCAAAGACCGGCCGGCCGGGCGCCGCGACCGCGGGTCGCGCGCGCAGCTGACATCTCAGTGCCTCGGGCGGGGCACCGGCAGGGGCGGATCCAGGGAGGCCGGCAAGGGAGGTTGGGTGAGGGATGACGCAAGTCACTATGGGAGATTGCCATTCTTGTAAAATTTTGAAATCTTTTATTTAAGACCTTACACAAAATGCTTTTATTTCCAGAGTCATTTCCAGACGTCTCTGTAAACGCCTTTGCAGTAGTCGACCAGAGGCGTTTTAAACTTATAGTCAGTCATATCTAATGGAGTGTGCTTGCTCTGCTCGGTTATGTAATCCCGATCCATTGAATGGCTTTTGAGAAACCATGACTAATTTCTT